CGAATGCTTGCTCGATAATGAGGTGGCGAGGCGTCGTTTACGAAGATTCATGCACTTAATGCAACGGTCCACTGATCGTTCACTTGAAAATCGTTCCCACCAAACGGTGGTACATTAGCATTTTTGTTTATTTATGATCTGATGCAAAATTCTGTTTTTCAAAATGTTGTTGTGCAAGCATACATCACGGCATATGGGGAGGCTTCAGGTTGCCTAAGAGTTCGCTATACAGCCATTGAGGGCCTCTTTGATCCAAAGGATTTTAGAAGGATTAGAATCCTTAGGAATTTTTCCTACGTTGGTTGTTTGATTCGTAGGATTGAATCCGAAGAATTTTTTCCTAAGGATTCATCATTTGTACTACATTTCACAGGAATTCTAACATCTACTCCAACCTTTTGAAAGTAATCCTTTATTTTTTCCATGACACAATCAAACGAACTCAAATCCTATAGGGATCCAATGGACATGCCATTCCAATCCTACGTCTTTCCTATTCCTATATTTTTGCAATACTGTGAATCAAAGAGGCCCTAATTCCCATTTTCCATATAATACTACTCCCTCCGTCCCATAAGGAAATATAAATGAAATTCAATTTTTTTAAACTAAATTGAAAACTTCTTGGCCAGCCTTCCGGCCGCAGCCCCACCCCATGCCTATGTTTACTGCTGCATGGTGACGGGCCTACAATAAGAGTAAAAGCAGTCAAAGTATCTTTTTTTTGTCAGAGCAGAAAAAATATGGAAAACGCTTCCTTCCATCCGGATGCAGGCATCCGGTCGAGCGACTGGTTTAGGCGCCGTTCGATCCTTCCCGATCGTATGGTGGACATGCTGTCGCGTGGTCTCTGTGGGACCCGACCCACCGCTCTATCCTCTCTCCCTGTCTTAGGCCCTATTTGGTTCATAAGTCCTAGGACTTTTTTTAGTCCCAACTTATAAGTTCCAAGTTCCTAATAAGTCCCTATCTGTTTGGTTCCTGGGACTTAACATGGACTAAAAGACCATATTACAACTATAAATCCCTGTAAGTCCCTCCTTAAGAGTCTTATTTCATAAGTCCCAAATGCCCACTTTAAGTCCCTATAAGTCCCTTCTGTTTGGTTTAGATAGGACTTAAAAGGACTTATTTAAGTCCCTACACCAATAAGTCCCTGTAACCAAACACCCTCTTATTTCAGCCACACGTTCTCCACATCCTGGGTCAAACCGTCTTCTCCCCCATCTCTCTTGTCCTTCATCCGGAGATCTCACCCGCCATGGATGGCATCCATGGAGCTTTTTCTCAAGTGATGCGAGGGGTGCTGCGAGGACGGTGGTTTGGCTGCTGCGAGCTGCGACGGCGACCGGGTTGCTACGGCGATGCTGCGACGGATCTGGGCTACTGCGACGGCGGGTAGGGCGGCTCCGCCGATGCTTCGACGGCATCATCATGCTGCGAGCCAGTGCTGCGACGTCGCCGGGCTGCGAGCCGGTGATGCATCTGTGCGGCCGTGCTGCGACGGCGCCGCGGTGCTGCCATGGCCACCATGCTGCAAGTCGGCGCTGCCATGAACAACATCTTGGCCCTGACGACGTTGCTGCGATGGCGGCTCAGGCTGCTCCGACGGTGCTGCTGCAACGGCAGCTCGGGCTGCTCCGACGGCAGCTCAGGCTGCTCCGGGGATGATGCGGCGGTGGCTCAGGCTGCTCCGGAGATGCTACGACGGCTCCGCCGCGCTGCGAGATGGTGATGTAAGGCCACCGGAGTTGCTGTGAGTTGGTGCCCGTCGTTCTTCGATGTCACCGGACACCGGATATGGCTACGCAAGCGAGGATGTATGCCTAGTGTTATGTGATGAGAAGAAAGAGAGGGAATTGAGCCATTGACTATCGGACAGCTAGGGAAGTTCAAATCGTATGATTTAGAAGCCGGATGTTTTTCGCTGTTCTACATCCGGATGACGCCTAGCAGGCGCCAAAAAAATATCTCCACGAAACCACTCTGAAAATAAGGGCAATTCCTATTTGGCACTGCAGGCGTTCGTTACAGTGCATTTTAGCGTCAGAAAATTGTGCAAACCAAAGATCGAACCGGGAACTACGTCGCTAACAGCGCAAGGCTCTAGCCACGAGGCCAGGACCAGTTCTTTGAATAGACACTTCAGTTGAATCATTTATTTGTCAATGTCAGGTCGGGTTTTCTGTTTCTTTTTTCCTCATCCTTTTTCAAATTCTGTGAACTTTTTCAAAATCAATGAATTCCTTTTAAATTTCAATGAACTTTTTTCAAAATTGATGATTTTTTTGAACATCCATGGACTTTTTTAAATTTCGATGAACTCTTTTTTCAAATTTGATGAACTTTTTCAAAACCGATTAACTTTTTGTTTGAAAATTGATGAACTTTTTTTAGGCTTGTGCACTTTTCTTGAAAATTGATGAACTAATTTTGAAAATCCATGAACTTTTTTCAATTTCGATGAATTTTTTTTCAAATTTGATGAACTTTTTCAAAACCGATGAACTTTTAGTCTGAAAATTGATGAACGTTTTTTAGGCTTGTGCACTTTTCTTGAAAATTGATGAACTAATTTTGAAAATCCATGAACTTTTTTCAATTTCGATGAATTTTTTCCAAATTTGATGTTTTTTTTCCAAATTTGACGAACCTTTTCAAAATCGATGAACTTTTTGTTTTTAAATTGATGAACTTTTTTTTCAAGTTTCTGAACATTTCTTGAAAATTGATAAACTTTGTTCGAAATCTATGAGGCTTTCCAAATTCACGATTTTTTTTGTCAAATAATTCAAAAAATAGTAATTGGTACCGTCTTGTGCAATAAAATAGCGAGAAAACATTGTTATTATATAATTTGTGCACATTACGTATAATTGGTGGCAAGTAGTCCGAGTGGTTAGTAGAACTCGTACGCTAGTGGAACTGCAAGAGTTCGAAACCTGTGGCGCCCAATAGGAGCTCCCGAAAATAAGTACGATTACCACAATTCCGATATTAAAAGCAAACTGTACTTGGTTTTTTGAACTTGGAATTAAAGTTGCAACCTTTTTCTATTGTCAGGAAGGGAAGACTGCACACCGTCGACAGGACTACACGAGTCACCCAAACATCCACCACTCCAACGGACGGACGGACCACACCATGTCGCTCCGGCGCCTCCTGGGCCTCTCCACCGCTGCCGTCTCCGGCCGCTACCTCTCCACCGCCGGCGCCGTCTCCGGCCGCCTTCGCCGCTCCCTCTCCACCGGCGCCGCCTCCTCGCACCCGCCACCATGGGCCATCATCGACCACTCGGCCGAGGTTGACCGGTCGTCGTCGGCCCAGACCGCGTGCTTCCGCCCCGTGGGCCCTCCGGGCGTCTCCAGCATCTCCGCCCCGGCGCACCTCATCGACCCCACCGCACGCCCCACCGCGGACGGCGGCAGGGTCCAATACCTCGGCGGCAACGTCGTCCAGGTCCTCTTCGGCCACGTCGGCGCCGCCAGCGGCGACGGCCACCTCCTGCTCAGCTACCACGACCTCCGGGCGGAGGGCCCTTGCACCTCCTGGGACCTCACCGGGAACCCCGAGATCCAGCGCTTCGTCTGCAACCCCCTCACCGGCGAGATGCTCCGCCTTCCCGACATCGGCGGCTGCAGGAAGATCCTCGTCGTCCACCACATGGGCCTCCTCACCCAGGCCGACGGAGGGCCCGGGTGCGGGCCGCCCGACAGGTTCGCCGTCGCCGACTTCGTCTATAACGGGGCCCTTGAGCGGTTCCTCTCCGATGAAGGCAAGTGGAAGACGGTGATGATGGGCTCGCCCGGCGGACCGCTGCTCCCGCGCGAGATGGAGATGAACCAGGAGACGGTTGCCTTCGGCGGCCGCCTGTGGTGGGTCGACCTCACCCTGGGCGCCGTCTCCGTCGACCCCTTTGCCGACCGGCCGGAGATCCGGTTCGTCGAGCTGCCCAGCGGCAGCGTGCTGCCTGCGCCTGCATGTGCTCACGAAACAGATCTCAGCAAGGTCGAGGAACGGGCTCTGTCCATGATGGAGTTGGCCAAGCGCCGGCGCATCGGCGTGAGCGAGGGGAGGCTGCGCTATGCCGAGGTGACTCCGGGCGGGCCGTTTCTGCTCAGCTCATATGCGCTCGACGACGGCGAGGGCAGCGGCTGGAAGCTGGAGCACCAGGTGTCGCTGAGGAAGGTCTTGGCGGACGGAGGCTACCCGTGGCAGGAGAACTCGGCGCAGTCGTCGCCGCAGATCGCCGTCCTTGACCCTCTCGACGCCAGTGTCATTTACATCAAGGTCGGTGAGCACGTCCTCGTCGTGGTGGACATGCACAATGGGAAGGTGATCGGGGCCTCTCGGCTTGAAGACGAGTACTTTTCTGTCATACCATGCGTGCTTCCAGCGTGGCTTGGATCAAGCCGGATCCCCACGGCAGCGGCAGGTATGTAATCACCTGCTTGTTTTACTGTTACCAATATCCTTACGATTTCAAGTTTTACTTTTACTCTTGCATTGCTTGATTGGTTTGTGCTTGGATAGAAGATTGCGAATTGTTCATGGGTTATAATGTGGAAACATAAAAATGAATGAATTTTGATGTCGAATTGACGCTGTCAGTAAGATCCGAACAGGAATTGCAATCATATACGGTACATACTAGGATTGGTACTATTGATCTAGTTAGACCGAATCATATCTATTCGCACAACTACTACTATCAGTATGCTCATAGCAAGTAGCAACCCATAGTCTGGGTTAGCATTGCGTTTGTTATTCTAGTTATTGTACCTTGACAGTGGAAACCATTTTTCAGGCAAGATGGATGTCTTGGAATCGACAGATGATCTGTTTAGTTTCGTCTAGAAGTGCTGACTGGGTATGATTCTTGCAGCCAGCTTATGCATCTCTAGGTCTATTCTTTAATCTAATACTCTCTCCATTCCAAATTACTCGTCGCAGAAATGGATGTATCTAGAACTAAAATACATCTAGATACATCCATACCTGCGACAAGTAATTCGGAACGGAGGGAGTACTTCTTTGCTGACCATCCACTATTAGTCATCCATTCACATTGTCAGGACTGAAGAAGTTTTATTTTGCCATGTTGTAGTGATGATTGCTCTTGTCTTTTTATGAAATATATAATCGACAATTGATATAATCTGAAAGTGAATTAAGCTTGTTATTTCCAAACAAATGTTAATGATGAAATTTTGTGGTATGAAGTAAACATGTTGTGAAGATGATAACTGACTTCCCATTTCGCTATAATAGCGATTGTGGTTACGCGGTTTTTCCATTTTCCACATTGAGTCAGTCTTTTCCATGTTGGGTAGTCAAACGTCCCTGATATTTCTTTGCTTTACTTTTCAGGTTCCTGGAACTAATGGATGCAGGGGTTGCGCTATATTAGGAAGCAGGCAGTAGTTTGAACTCTCATTTTAGAGAGAAAATCTGGATGAGTTTGGATTTATTCTAGTTGATTATCTATGAACTATCTGGTTTAGATGGAAATCTGGCTGTGGTTTCAGCGCTCAGATTAGGAGATTCAGTAGAACTAAATTAGTAGTACTAGGAAGGAAGCTGGCGGCAGTTTGTTAAAGTCTCATTTTGGAGGAAGTCTGGAGAAGTTTGGGTTCGTTGTACTAGTTCGTTGATGAATTACTATCTCGTTTATTAGAAGGAAAATATGGCAGTTGTTTCAGCGGTCACATTAGGAATGGAAATTCCAGAAGACATGATTAAATCAGCATGCATGTAGCAATGGACTACCACAGAACAAGATGCGTGCTCTGCTTACTTGCAAGACATTGTGCCCATCAAGTTAAAAGAAAAAAAATACGGTCATCTTCTTGTAGGGATACATGGATGATGGATGCATCCATGATCTCTCGCTGCGGCATGATAAATGGATAAATGTTTCAACGCATCAGTAGTATTTATATCCATATCTATACCTAATATTAAAAAGATTGTTTCTTCACTTTTGGGGGCCCTCTTGTCAATTTGTACGTCATGGCCTAGCTGGGCATGTCCATCGTCCGTCTGACATGGGTTTTGTTGGCCCACTTTGGGCCTCTTCGTAGGCTTGCACACCAACGCACATAATGTAAGAGCAAGTACAATAGAGCTGAGTCAGCTGACTATAAGAAATAAAATAGTATATTCTTGCTTAGTTGGAGGAAAGAGAAGAGGAGAGAGAAGGTAAGCGGGCTCTTGGTGAAGAGCCAGCTCTAGCACGTGCTCCTAGGCACTTTGTGAGATTGAAATGTGGGCCATATAATAAAAAAGGAGTACACTTTTCTAATCAACTATTGTACATATTGACTATAAGATGGACTATATACGACATGACAATGTTTACAGCTAGCAGTTGGCTATACTATTAACCATGCTCTAACCATTCATACTTCAAAAAGGATAACTGAGGCACACCACTGGAACGGTTGTTATACATGAATTGGACACAAGAGTGCCCTACCCTTAGAGGTGCCGTTCACGCACATATCCTCTGCCCTAAGTTTCCACCTTACATGGCAACCTGACACCATAATCATCCCATACGCACAAGAGATTTGTTGACTGAACCCTCACGCAACCGGGACCGCATCGATGACAAGAATCATTCAGACAAAAAGGAACTTGAATCGTATATGGTGGACGACGAATTTGTAAAATGATGCACAACGACCATCTATACTTAAAAAAAATATCAATGCACATGAGCAGAGGTTCCATTTCCCTGCCCTAAGCTGCCAGCTTACATGGCCAACGGACGCGATCATCATCCCCTATGCAGAAGAGATTTGTTGGCCGAACCCTCGCGCCACCGGGACTGCATCGACGAGAAGAATCCATTCGAATCGTATATCATAAACGACGAATTTCGCCATTCAATCTATGCGTACTGTCGCAAGCCTACTTTGTGGTCAGTGAGAAAATGTTCAATTACTCGCACCCATCAATTCATCTAGATACCGCCGACCTTATAGACATTGTATATCGTCCTATTGTTGTCATTGGCAGCGTGCACCACGAGCCGTGTGATCCGTGATCGTGAACCGGTCATGGGAACGACGTTCCGATGCAAACTTTCTGTGTCACTTTGCTAGCCTCATCTTAAGTATCGTATTAGTGAGCCGCAAGTTAATCCGCTGTCTAATGCTCTCTCCTCGTCACGTGAACTGAATGTCGATTGTTAACATTAGCTTGCTTAAGTAATTTATGTTCTGCTACCTCCTTTCCATCATCCGCTGGCCACCAGCTTGCACGTTGACTAATGAGCATGTGTTGCTATTGTACCCTAGGGCCTCTTTTATCTTACCATTCAAAAAAGAAAAAAAACAGGTTCTTTGTTGCAGCTACATCTATGTGATTTTTTTATATAGCTATCATGTTTTAGAGAATATAATTGTCATGTTCTTAGATGTAGTCCCTTGCCAGATTGCTTTTTGATACACTTATCAAAATTTATGAGAGCAATTAACAGGTACGAATGCATGAACAGTTTATAAACAAATAATATAAATAATCAAGTTGTCAATTGATTCAGCATTTATGTCATCATAAAACTTATCCTCAACCCAGCAATCCTGCTTAATGACAATCAATTTTCACATCGCAGCGGAGCACACTATTTTTCTCTCCCATTGCAACGCACGGACATATGTGCTAGTATTTCTAACAGCAGGTTGCATGTTTTTCACTGCTTTTATGTTATTTATTCCCAGCCATGCCAGTGCATCGGCGCCACAGTCTCGAGCTCCTCACTACCTCAAGCACTTCGGCAGGACCAGTGCCAGCGCGCTCCCCTGCAAGCCTGGAAGTGGATGCGGACACCATGATCTCTGCATGGATCAAGCGAGAGTTAGGGAAACTCCAATGCGCCAACGCATTTTGCCGACGTGTGTCTGTTTTGCTCGAAATGGACAGAAAGCGTGGCAACGCATAGATGCAAATGGGCGGTCGTCCATTTTTTGGCCGCCCGTGACCCATTTCAATCCCAAATTTGGGCCAGGTTTGCGTCGGAGCGTACGCGTGTGATGCCCGCCCTTGTCCTCCCCCTGGCCCGCCCGTGGTGGCACATTGGCCATTCTCCTCCCCTCATCAACATCCGACACCGGCCATGCCTTCCTCGCTGCCGCCACCCACTTTCGGCCGGTTGGACACTGCACAAGCCGCCGCCCACATCCATGCTCTTTCCCCACCTTCACGACACATCCAATGTCGGCTCTTGCCGGCATTGGTGGTCTCTTTTCGCCACTACCGACCCGTCATAGCACCTTCACGACCATGCTACCCCCTAGCCTCCATGACCACCGGCTTCGCTCCACGGTCGCCTCCACTTTCACAGGCTTTTTGCCTGTACGGGGAAGAGGCGCGGGGCTCTTGATCGGCCACTACTCCACCATGTTTGCAAGGTGTTCGGCGTTTTTCCCGCAAGGTACCATGGATAGTGGGGATGAGTTCTTTTTCAATAACTTCATGTGTTCATCGGATGATGCAGATTTTATGGTTGCGACTATGGTCGTCAGTGACCACATTGCTAGGTAGCGGCCGAGGTTTAGGGGATAAATCCCGGGCCATGCTCTGCCGTTGAATCACAACAGAGAGAGCGACCATTGCCTACCCTTCATCGATTACTTTCAGTGCACATCCCCACTCTTCAACCCCCAAGTTTTTCTAGCGCCGCTTCCAGATGGAGAGACATGTGTTCAACCATATTCGGGAGGAAGTGATGGCGTATGATGAGCATTTCATATGCAAGGAGGATGCCCTTGGAAAGATTGGCTTCTCCTCTTATAAAAAATGCACTGCAGCTATTCGGATGCTTGCATATGTAATTCTCGGTGATCTTGTTGATGAGTATCTCCGCATTAGTGAGTCCACATGCCTTGCGTCGTTGTACAAGTTCTGCAAGGCCGTGGTAGCAATGTTTGGCCCGGAGTACTTGGGAGAGCCAAATGTTGTGGATACAACCCGGCTGTTGGCAATCAATAAGGATAGAGGCTTCCCAGGAATGATTGGTGGCATAGATTGTATGCACTGACAGTGGAAGAACTATCCATCTGCTTTGTAGGGGCAATATAAGGGGTATGTTAAAGGTTGCATTGTCATACTTGAAGTTTTGGCTTTACAAGATCTCTGGATTTGGCACTCTTTTCTCGGCATGGTTATCACAATGACATCAACATGCTTCAACGCTCTCCGGTGTTCGAAAGACTTGCAGAAGTCTACTTTGAGATCAATAGCTAACATTACAACAAGGGATACTACCTAGTTGATCGAATCTATCCTCGGTGGTCAACTTTTGTGAAGACAACCTTCAATCTAGTAGGCGAGTAGAGGGTTAGGTTGTCCCAAGCACAAGAGAGTGCTACAAAGTATGCCGAGCGTGCTTTTGGTGTGCTTCAATCTCGATGGGCTATCGTTTGGTACGCTGCTAGAACACGGAGCTCCAAGAAGATGTGGTAGGTGATGACTGCTTGTGTGATCATGCACAACATGATCGTATAGGATGAGTGTGTGGACCAAATCTTCGACCAAGGGTTTCAATTTCAGGGTCAAAATGTTGTGTCTGAGTATGGGCTGACAACATTTGCAGAGGTCACCTAATTTCATCATGAAATGCGTGATTGGACAACTGACATTCAACTCCAAAATGATTTGGTTGAGCATATGTGGACTCATCTCGGCAACTAGTACTCCCTCCATCACAGTTTACTGGATGCGCTTCAACAATCTTTGGGAGCAAGGTGATTAGCGATTGAACTGAAAAATAGCATCGACGGTTATAACGCCTAATTACTGGAGAAATTAACATGCAGTAACCCCCACGGCCATTAAACGAGCCGCCATCC